GAAAAGGATATTGTAAAATATCCAGTCAGAGGTGTCATTTGCTGGTTCTCCAAATTACTCAAAATTTCTGCTACCGGTTCTCCAGAACTGATCGGAACCTGCTGAATATCACCTCTGGTACAGATCCTCAATGGAAGACAAGTTGGTAGTAATTGTTTTTTCTGCAGTCCTAATTACTCTTTGAAGTCTGTGTCGGTCTTGTTGTGTTGCAGAGCCAAACCAGACTGTTATAGACATGCAGATGACAGACAAATAAGACAGATAAACACAATACAGGAAGCCCTTGATTTACAATAGTTCATTTAGTGACCATTCAAAGTTACAACGGCACTGGGAAAAAAAGCACTTAGCACCATTTTTCAAACTCATAGTCACTGCAGCGTCCCCATGGTCCTGGGATCAAAATTTGGATGCTTGGAAACTGACTCGTACTCATGACTGTTGCTGTATCCCAAATTCATGTGATCCCCTTTTGCGACCTTCTGACAAGCAAAGCCGATGGGGAAGCCAGATTCATTTAACAACCATGTCACAAATTTAACAACTGCACTGAGTCACTTTTCAACCGTGACAAAAAAAGGTCCTAAAATGGAAGCAAAAATTTCACTTAACAACTGTCTCCCTTAGCAACAGAAATTTTGAGCTCATTTCTGGCCATGAGTCAAGGGCTATGTGTAGTAGAAAGTAGACTCATCCCTCGATCTAATTTCTCACAGAAATTCAGGTTAAGATTTTTAGGAGAGAAAGAAGTTAAAATAACTGTGGTACGTGAATAGTATTATAGGTTGGAGAGCCAATTGAAATGACTGTGCTGCATATTTTCCGACTCCAAATTTATCGACGTAACGTTATCAGCAGGAGCCTTGAATGAATCTCGCTTAATATCCAAGAGCTGACAATTGGGAATATTGCAGCCATGTGTTTCAATAGGAAGGTTGCCATAAGAAGACATAGATAATGGAAGGAAATGATGCATTTTTTCCTCCCGTTAAACTGTTCTGAAATGAGGTCTGGGGGAGAGGAGAGTTAGAAAACTTACCTTACTTTCTGCAAGAAAATCAGTAGAATTTGATGCCCTTTCTATTATTTAACATGTACATACATCTGTTGGGAAGGGTAATTCACAGACCTGGACCCAGTTATCATCAACATGGGGATGGCACCAAGTTATATTTTATTTCCTAAAAACACAGGTTAGATATAAAATATCTACCATAGAACTTCTCTATCAGCAGGTTGGAATTGACTGGATGTATGAAAGCCAAGATATGCTGGATATATAGACTGGATATACTGCAGCCAAAAAATTAAAAGACGCTTGTTCCTAGAGAGGAAAGCTGGGACAAATCAAGACAGCGTACTAAAAAGCAGCGACATCCCCCTGCTAACAAAAGTGTGTAGAGGCTAAAGTGTGTCAAGGCTCTGGTTTTCCCAGTTGCAATATATGGCTGTGAAAGTTGGACCATAAGGAAGGCTGAGCGCCAAAGTATGGAGGCCTTTGAACTCTGGTGCTGGAGAAGAAGACTCCTGCGAGTCCCTTGGACTTTAGGCCATCAAACCAGTCAGTCCTACAGGAGATCAACCCTGACTGCTATTCAGAAGGCCAGATCCTGAAGATGAAACTCAAAGACTTTGGCCACCTAATGAGAAAGGAAGGACTCACTGGAGAAGAGCCTAAGGCTGGGAACAATTGAGGACAATAGAAGAAGGGGACAGCAGAGAAGGAGGTGGCTAGATGGAGTCACTGAAGTAGTTGGCATGAGCTTAAATGGACTCTGTAGCATGGTAGAGGACAGGAAGTCCTGGAGGAACATTGTCCATGGGGTCGTGATGGGTCGGATACGACTTCACAACTAACAACAACAACAATGAAAGTCAGCTGGAACTAAACTTAGTCCAGACTTAGTTATTTTGCTGGCTGGGGAATTCTGGGATTTGAAGTCCACAAATCTTAACGTTGCCAAGGTTGGAAACTCTGATATAAAGTCTTCATTGCTCTTCTCTGCACTCTTTCTAGAGTCTCAACATCTTTTTTACATCGTCATGACCAAAACTGGATGCAAGTGTGGTCTTACCAAAGCAATATAAAGTGGTATTAACATTTCATGAGATCTTGATTCTATCCCTCTCTTAAGGCAGCCTATAGGAAGGGGCTCGAATCTTTTTTCTTTTTCATTCTCTGCGGCCCACCAAAATTTTCTCACAGACCATCAGTGGTTCCAGGCCCACTGGTTGGTGATCACTGCTCTAGGACTGAGATCTTATAGCCATGTAAATACCAGGTCATATTCTTAGTCCCAAAGGTTCTTTTTCAAGAGGCGACTGGACTTTCTTTTTTTTTTCTTTGAAGACATTTCGCTCCTCATCCAAGAAGCTTATACAGTTCTGACTGGATGTTGCGTAATGGAAGGATTTACATTCCTTGCAGACAGCTGGTCATTTGCATTCTTTTAGAAGGTAGTTGAGGCAATTTGGAGGTTTGTCATGTCCTCAGGGTCGGCTTATTAGTGCAAATGGAACTGATCCAGTCAGAGCTGAAGAAGCTTCTTGGATGAGAAGCAAACATCTTCGAGGAAAAATAAAGAAAGTAAAGGTGACTTTTGAAAAAGCGCCCTCCGGACAACCAATACTTTGATGACAGAATCTCCACAGATTGGCCACATTCTAATTACAGAAGGAAGAACCTTTTTTTTTTTTGGCAGAGGTTATCAGCTGCTAAGTATTCAAATCCTGTGATCTGTCTGTACCTATAAAGATCAGAATAATGCAAGCAATTAGCAATGATATTCCCTGCGATATTTATAGAAGCAAAAGTTGGATGGTGAAGGAACAAGCGGGGAAAAAATATTGATGCTTTTGAAAATTGGGTCTTGGAGAAGATTCCTGAGACTATCATGGATAGCTAAGAAAACAAACGGATGGATCATTTATCAAATCCATCCAGAGTTATTTTACTTTGGAATACACGGTGCAAAGATTTAGGTCTCTGGAGAAGAAGATTCCAATGGTGGAAAAAGTGGAAGGAAAATGAGGAACAGGATGAACCAGCAGCGAAATGGATGGGTTCAGTTATGATGGTGCTGGGTCAGATTGGTGATTGGGTGATCATCCTGGAGAACTATCTATCTATCTATCTATCTATCTATCTATCTATCTATCTATCTACCAACCACCAATCATCTCTCTCTCTCTCTCCCATCCATCCATCCATCCATCCATCCATCCATCCGTCCGTCCATCATCTATCATATCTCATCTGTCTGTCTATCTACCTACCTACTTACCAATCATATATATATATATCATCCATCCATCCATGTATCCATCTGTCTGTCTATCTATCATCTATCTATCATATCTCATCTATGTATGTATTTATCTGCCTGTCTATCTGCCTGCCTGCCTGCCTGCCTGCTAGCCTGCCTATCTATCTATCTATCTATCTATCTATCTATCTATCTATCTATCTATCTATCTATCTATCTATCTATCATCTCAGCCGCTACACCTTGGGGAAAAAAAGCCATTTTATCCCTTGTATTACGCATTTCTACCATACCATCTTAGCAACCACAATCCCCTCCCTTGCACATTCATCTTGTCGCGAGCTCACAGAATGAATCATCTAATACCAGTCCAATTTTTTTCCCTCTTCAAATTAGGCAGAGAGCCAAGATGTGCAACGTTCATTAAGTTCCCACCCCTTCGCTTAGATCACAAGGCCGATCTTGATCAGAAGACTGGTAGCTTCCTGGGGGAGGTGCCTTCATCCCAGGTGAGTGGATAAGATAACAGGCTTTTGATTATTGATCAGCAAATCAGGGTCCTTCAAATTTTATCCAACCCTTCGCCTCGCCCTCTCTCCCTCTCCCTCTCCCCCCTCCTCTCTCTCTCTCTCTCTCTCTCTCTGTGAATTGATCAACCCTTTGGAGTTTGATAGGCATTATTGGGGGTATATATCTGGACTGCAAAACCGCAAAATACTATAACATGGCAGTGTCCATTAAATAACTCTGTTCCCCAACTCTGTTAGGTGGTCCTGAATCTTTGCAATTCACAGGGGGGGAATCCTATGTGGATTAAAAAAAATCCCTCTAGGACAGGAGTCTCCAATTTTGGCAACTCTAAGACTTGTGGACTCCAACTCCCAAATTTCCCCAGCCTGCCATGCTGGCTGGAGAATTCTGGGAGTTGCAGTCCACAAGTCTTAAAGTTGCCAAGGTTGGAGACCCCTGCTTTAGGGCACTCCAGCAAGATCTGTATGACTCTAAAGACCACTAGAGAACAAAGGCATACAGAGATAGAGGGGGAAAAAAAATAAGAATCTGGATTTGTTCATCACAATAATGCACCAAGTAAACGTTTATGGTAAGTCTCTGTGTGTTTGTAAAGGAGTTATTTGAATAAAGGGCTTGAAATGTTTTACAGATTAACTGAGTTGGAAGGGACCTTGTAGGTCATCTAGTCCAACCCCCCCCACCCAAGCAGGAGATCCTACACCATTTCTGACAAATGGCAGTCCAATGTTGCACCAGCCCAGCCATGATCACCTGCAAAACATGGTTCCTGTTTTGGGGTGAATCTGCACCGTTGCTTCTTAATTTTCACCCATGATTTCAACAGCTCAACAATGAAAACAAAACTGGGGAGTTTTGTAAAACACCCCATTAGGCTCATAACATCTGGGAAAGCATGGAGACCAACCATTCTCCCACCCTTTAACACCTGGGACCTTTGCATCCCGTTGCCTGTCTAACCCATAATCCCCAACCTCCACCTCCATATGGTCTGAGAATGATGGGAACTGTAATCTACTGTAATCTATGCGGTTCTGAGAGTGCCAGGTAGAGGAAGGGGCTGGAAGGGGGCCAGTTTTTGAAGATGGGGACCTCCCTCCATTCTCCTTTTCTCTCTAACCAGGCAGGCGCCCCTTCCTCCCGTCCTCCCTTGCTTAAATTAAACACGGAGGCCAGGCCGCTTGGGCGGCCCCGCCGGCAGCAAAACCTGTTCCTCCGTACCTGTCCGCGCAGGTTTGGGTGTGGTCTGCCCTAGGTTCTACTTAGCCAGGCCCGACAGGGGGGGCGCCTCCGCCCGCCGCTGGCTTTCCGGGTCGGTTTGGGCTATCAGGTTGCTTGTCCCGAGCTCTCCCGGCTGGGGTAAGTGGAAGGGGTCGAGAGGGGGGCTTGGATCGGGCCGTGTTCCGCAGGGAGGGTCTTTCTCTGGGCGACCCGAAGGGGAAGAGGAGAGCTCGCGGGCTGGCCGGGAGAAACCAGCGAACCTCCCCGACTTGGCTTCGCCTTCCTTAGTTGCGCTTCGGTTTAGAAAGCAGGCTCGGAAAGGGGCAGCGCCTTTGGCCCGCGATGCCTTTGGCTGGCACGGAGGGCCGGGCGAAGCGGGGCTCCCCGCGGGCTGATCTGGGCCTGTCCAACCCGAGGGGGAAAGGGGAAAAAATAAAGAGCGTTTTGTAGCTTCTTTCGCAACTCCTGTAATTTCCCGAAGGCAGCGGACAGCGGCTTGAAGCGTGATTTTTTTTCTCTCCCTACCTTGCAAAACAAAATAATAATGATAATGATAATAATACTAAATAATAATCGAGTGTTATCCCAATTCTAATTGGAGCCCTTGGAGCAATACCTAAAGGACTGCCTCACTATTTGGAAATCCTGAATTTATCAGACTTGAATACCCTGATTCTACAAAAAAACACCACCCTACTTGGAACAGCTTATATATCCTCCCAGGCTACCTGAACAGTTCCTAGGTCCTTGGTTAGGACTCGAGCTGTTGAGCTACCAACTAGCCCCAAAGGCTGTGAATCTCACTGAAGATTTTAATAATAATAATAATAATAATAATAATAATAATAATAATAATAATA